CCACACTCACCCCTGCACTGTGGGGCTGGCCCGCTCCACACCAGGCTCTTCCCATCATCCGAGGTGCAGTAGATGGACTCGTCCCCGATCAGGGACAGCCCCTCCTCACATCTGTAGGTCACCTTGGCACCATAGGGGAACTCTGTGCCACCCCTGCCCGAGTGGTACCCGTAGAGGATGGCTGGAGGGGGCCCACAGACTGCGGAAAAAAGGGAATTCATCAGGGAAAAACCGTGCAGTTATCACCTTCAGTGAGGATCAGGATCGCTGCGGGGAAATCAGTACAAAGTTCACTTGGTGCCTGCTGTGAGGAGCATCCACAAGAAGCTGCTGAAGGGATTCCAGCCTCTCAGAGATCCAGAATTATTTAAAATCACGAGGTAATCCTATGCAAATTAGCTCTGGACACKTATATGATGATGTTATGCCGACATAGCAATATCAAACAACATTTAATAAATATTAAATTAATAAATGCTCTTTTTTTTTTTAATTGTACAAAAGAGCCACACACACCTTGGTCACAGAAGGGCAGAGAGGGGTGCCAGCTCAGATCATCCCCACAGGTGATGAGCGCCGAACCCCGCTGGCCGTAGCCCTGCTCACACAGCAGCCTCACCTCGGCCCCCACCGTGTAATCCCTCTTGTTCTTGGAAACCTCCTTTGCGTGAGGGACTTCTGGCTTTGGGCAGCGTGGTTCTGAAAAGAGCAGGAAGGAAAATAAAGGGTGTTTGTGTGTTTTTAAAAGGAAATCCAGGAATGGTGTCCGTGGAGAGGAGTTACCAACCTGAACCCTTTCCAAATCTGAACCCTGGAAAGAAAAGGTTTCAAAGTGTCAGGTTTTGTCTGAAACCCTAAAGGAAAAAGAATTCTTGTCCATGCCCTAATGCTGGCTGCCCTGGGAGGTGGAGCAGGGTTTTTCCTCCTGGGGAGGTTTTCCTGGGTTTTTCCTCCTGGTGAGGTTTTTCTGAGTTTTTGTGGATATTGCTGCAGTGCCCATTGCTGGGTTAAGAATTGGAGCACTTTCAGTTATTCAGGCTGCTGCATTTTGAGAAATTTGAGCAGGGTCAGTTATTTATGAAGCTGCATTTTCAGGGGTTTGAGCAGGGTAAGTTATGTATGCTGTTGCATTTTCAGGGGTTTGAGCAGGGTCAGTTATTTAAGCTGCTGCATTCCAGGAATTTGAGCAGTCCCAGTTATTTATGCAGTTGCATTTTGAGCAGTCCCAGTTATTTATGCAGTTGCAATTTCAGCAATCCCAGTTATTTATGCAGTTGCATTTTGAGCAGTCCCATTTATTTATGCAGTTGCAATTTCAGCAATCCCAGTAATTTATGCAGTTGCACTTTGAGCAGTGTCAGTTTTTTAAGTTATTTAAGCTGCTGTATTTCAGGAAATTGAGCAGTCCCAGTTATTTATGCAGTTGCACTTTGAGCATTGTCATTATTGAAGTTATTTAAGCTGCTGCATTTTCTCCTGGGAGGGGAAACGCGTCGGGAACATCCTCTGCTCGCCAGCCCGGTGTCAGCAGAGCAAACCCAAACACAAACCACATCCCCTTCCCGCTGGGTCAATGCCTCCCAGGCTTCTCAGGGACTTCCCAAACTTCTAGAAGCTTCCAGAACAACACCCTTTGCACCCCTGCAGACACCAGCTCAGCCCTGCCCAAAACCTGCACGTTTTCCATGGGCAATGACAATGACAGGGACAATGACAGTAACAATGACAATGACAATGACTGAAAATGACAGTGACAATGACAATGACAATGACAATGACAATGACAGTGACAGTGACAGTGATAGTGACAGTGACAATGACAATTGCAGTGACAATGATAATGACAGTGACAATGACAGCGACGATGACAATGGCGATGACAGTGACAGTGACAGTGACAATGACAATGATGATGACAATGACAATGACAATGACCATGACAATGACAATGACAATGACAGTGATAGTGACAATGACAATGACAATGACAATGACAATGACAATGACAGCGACAGCGACAATGACAATGACTGAAAATGACAATGGCAATGGCAATGACAATGACAATGACAATGACAATGACAGAAAATGACAATGACTGACAATGACAGTGACAGTGACAATGATAGTGACAGTGACAATGATAATTGCAGTGACAATGATAATGACAGTGACAGTGACAATTGCAATGGCAATGACAATGACAATGACAGTGACAGTGACAATGACAATGACAATGACAATGACAATGACAGTGACAATGACAATGACAATGACAATGACAATGACAATGACAGTGACAGTGACAATGATAGTGAGGTGACAATGACAATTGCAGTGACAATGATAATGACAATGACAATGACAATGACAATGACAATGACAATGACAATGACTGACAACGACAATGACAATGACAGTGACAGTGACAATGACAATGACAATGACAATGACAATGACAATGACAATGACAATGTCAATGACAGCGACAATGACAATGACAATGATAGTGACAGTGACAATAACAATTGCAGTGACAATGATAATGACAATGACAATTGCAATGGCAATGTCAATGACAGCGACAATGACAATGACAATGACAATGACAATGACAATGACAATGACAATGACTGACAACGACAATGACAATGACAGTGACAGTGGCAATGACAATGGCAATGACAATGACAATGTCAATGGCAATGACAGTGACAAATGATAATGACAGTGACAATGACAATGACTGACAATAACAATGACCATGGCAACGACAATAACAATGACCATGGCAATGACAGTGACAATGACAATGACCCATCTGGATCTTTTGCTGCTTGCACATCCCAAGTTAACCCAGGTGTGAGTCCATCTGGAGCAGGGATAATTTCCCCCTGGGTTTTGTCCCCGTGATCCATGTCCCCAGCCCCACCTGGAATGCACTCTGGCACCGAGGGGTTCCAGCTGCCATCCTCGGTGCAGTGGAGGGTGACTCTGCTGCCGCTGTGCTCTTTGAAAGCAAATCCCTCGTTGCACATCACCTTCAGTGTGTCCCCGTACTCAAAAACATCTTCCACATGCCATGGGTACAAGGCTTTTCCATTTGGGATGTCTGGATCTGGGCAAACAATTCCTGGGAAATGCCAAACGAGGGTGAAACTGTGGCAAAGCCAATGGGGAGATTTGTCGTGACGACAAGGGTGGGTGTTTTGTAGGACACGGACACATCACGGCATTAAATCCGCCCCAAAGCCATCCGTGGACTTTGCTGGGGGGTAGAATATTTGTGATGGACCCTCCCCTTGGTGCAACAACACCACAGCGGATTTTTCCAGAGGTTCAAGGGACCGGAAAACAAAACAAAGAAAACTCCGGGGCTGGAGAACAAATCAAAGGAATTCCAGAGCCAGCAAAGACCAAACTGGGGGGGCTCTGGAGCACCCCCAGGCTGTCCCACCCCACAGCAGGGCAGTGCAGATCCCTCACAGGTCTCAGGCAGCCCCAGCACTCACTCTCACACGGGGCTGGGGGTTCGCTCCACACGAATTCAGGGAGGCAGCGGATGTTGTGCGCGGTGTCCCCGGAGCTGAAGCGGTGACCCTGCTGGCACTCGTAGGTGACCACGGTGCCCACGGGGAACAGGTTCCCAGCCAGCCTGGCTTTGACAGCRTTCCTCACGTCTGGGGGGTCATCACAGCTGCCTGGGGACGGACAGCAGGTTAGGGACACGGGCACAGGGCTGGGATKGGGGATTTGGGTGAAAACCGTGACTCCCATCGCTCATTCTGAGATGCATTTCATCATCCAAGCTCAGGAAGGGAATGCAAATGACACAAATCAAGGCATATAAACATGTTTTTTCCCTGGAGAGACCTTTCCCAAGTGCATGGGGTGATAGGACAAGGGGAAAGGGCCTTGGGGTGAAGGAGGTTGGGTTTAGATGGGATATTGGGSAGGAATTKTCCCCTGGGAGGGTGGGGAGGTCCAGAGGGTGCCCAGAGMMRCTGTGGCTGCCCCTGGCAGTGTCCAARGCCAGGCTGGACGGGGWTTGGAGCASCCTGGGACAGTGGGAGGTGTCCCTGCCATGGCAGGGGTGGCACTGGGTGASTTTTAGGCGATTCTATGATTTCAGACCGCACGGCAATTTTCACTGCGATAAGAACATTTCATCTCTAATGAAGCTGATGCAGGAGGGGTCCCGGGGGGCTGTCCTGCACACTCACTGCGCTGGCAGACGGGCASGGGGGGCTCCCAGTGGTTGTTGTCCTGGCAGGTGGAGGTCTCGCTGCCGTTGAGGCTGTGGCGGAAATCGCAGTCGAMCACCACTCTGTCCCCGTAGCTGTACTGGGAGCGGTACCCGCTCAGCAGCCTCCCATTGTCCACTCTGGGCTGCCCACAGCTCACCACTGGCACGGGGAGAGCACGCAGGGACAGCACTTAGGGTCACCAGGGGAGGTGAGGGTGTTAAAAAAACATTCCCTTCGCCTTTTTAACCAAAAAGGCTGAAAATGAATGGGACACCCAGCAGGGTAATGTGGGTGTTTCATAAACCTCATCCCATGAAAGAGTGGGGTTATTTAAGGGAAAGCAGAGTGAGAACATGGGAGGCAGCAGCAGGGATCCATCCCAGCAGGAATCCATCCCAGCAGGAATCCATCCCAACAGGAATCCATCCCAACAGGAATCCATCCCAGCAGGAATCCAACCCAACAGGAATCCATCCCAGCAGGAATCCATCCCAGAGGAATCCATCCCAATAGGAATCCATCCCAACAGGAATCCCAGGAAATATCCATCCCAACAGGAATCCATCCCAGCACGTATCCCAGCAGATATTGCCACAGGGTCTCCATCCCAGCAGGAATCCACCCCAACAGGAATCCCAGAGGAATCCAACCCAACAGGAATCCATCCCAGCAGGAATCCCAGCAGGAATTCATCCCAGAGGAATCCATCCCAGAGGAATCCATCCCAGCAGGAATCCATCCCAGAGGAATCCCAGAGGAATCCATCCCAGCAGGAATCCATCCCAGAGGAATCCCAGAGGAATCCATCCCAGCAGGAATCCATCCCAACAGGAATCCCAGCAAATATCCATCCCAACAGCTATCCCAGCAGCTATCCCAGTGGGTATCTCAGCAGGAATACTAGCAGGAATCCATTCCAGCAGAGATCCCAGCAAATATCCATCCCATCAGGAATCCATCCCAGCAGGAATCCCAGCAGATATCCCCACTGGGTCTCCATCCCAGCAGGAATCCATCCTAGCAGGAATCCCAGAGAAATCCATCCCAACAGGAATCCATCCCAACAGGAATCCCAGCAGGAATCCATCCCAGCAGGAATCCCGGCAGGAATCCATCCCAGCAGGGATCCCAGCAGATATTCCCACAGGGTCTCCATCCCAGCAGGAATCCATTCCA